GATCCGTATATATAAGTTATTTAGCATGCATAATAACACTCTTAACGTAATTTATATATTATTACTTTAAAGAAAATGCAACAATATATGACTATGAAATTAATTATTTTCCTGATTCTCTTACACAGTTTTAAAATATAGATAAAAATCACAATTTTAAAATATAGGAAAAAAAAATCCTGTCTTAATTAGATCGTCATATTTAAACCAAATGTAAGTCCAATATCATACGTATTTTGGATGTTATTTTTTAATCACAAATTAACATTTTATCTTAATAAGTTATTTAATAAAAATTTATATTGAAGGTCAACACATATTAAAACTTTACTTTTGGAGAATAAATAAAAATTCAGACTTAAGATAGTGCACATCAAATTATTCTCTTTAATAACTCTTGAAATATATCAATATTTTTATATATAAGAGATAAATACATAATTTTTTTGTATTAAAAATAGTTTAAATTTAAAATTTAAAATATCTAATTTTTTTCTAAATTCTAAATAAGAATCGAACCTGAGAGCACTAAATCGACCCTCTCATATTCTAAGATAGGTTTTACAACTGGATTGATTCTTTCATTTGTTTCTTATATATATAGGAATAAATTAAGATAGTATTAATAAATTTCAACAAACTAATTAGTGATTTTTTTCTAATATATTTCGACAATGCATGTTACTCAATTTTTAGATAAATCAAGTATGTATGGTTAGGTAATCTCGTAGTTTACATTCTATCAGAGGAGCTCATGGCCCAAATCACAAAACCCTACCCTCTAACAATGACACCAAAAGAGCAATCAACAAAGAAACAACTGAAGCAAGTGCAGAAAAATCTTGCAACCAAGATGATAATTAGAGATCATGCTTTGCTAAACCATTGTTACGATTGTCTCCCTGAACACATTCTAGTACCTAACATTCCAAGCCATGCATATTCATGAACCTCTTCATATCACTAATTAATTAATTAGCCTGAACACGGGTATGACTAGATGTGACTCCATCATCCATAGCCAATTAGTTGCATTTTTGGATTTCTTTTTTTGTTAATATAATAATTGAATGGAATTAGCTTGTTGGTCCTATATAACTATTCTTATCTGAAATAATTCAAGGTGAAGAGTATGTATATCAAAGAACGTATTGTCGTTAGTTGTATGATTAACCTTCTACAAGACATGATGATGTGTATGCATGCACTATAGATGTGGGTTTGGTGCTTCGGTTCTCCCTTTGTTATTGCTGAGCCTTGAATTTTTTTATAGTTTCTAATTAATGCATTAATTAATAATTGCTTTTTATTATTTTGTAACATGATATGAAAATCATCCAATGAAAATCTCAAGTAATTAATGATTCAAGTAGCTGACCTGACACGATCAAAAGGATTATTGGGTTTAGCCGCAGATCTTCAATTTAATTTCTGCATTGAAGACATTGAGAATTTTTATATTTGTCAGCTTCTAGAAGAAGAAAAAATTGTGTTGTTTGCGGCTTTTAGCCAAATCATGGTTGAATGCAATTGTTAGTACTAGTTACAATGAAATTGTCAATGTTGAAAATTTTTTCATAGTTAAAAAATATAAATTTAAATATATTTTTAGTCTAAGTAAAATGGATAAATTTTAGTTTTAATTTTCGTAAAATATTTTTGATTCTTGTAAAATAAGTATTTTTTTTTTATTTTAGTCTTTGTAAAATATTTTCTTTAATTTTCATTCTCTAAAATTTAAAATTATTATTTTTGATCTCTATAAATGATTTTAAGGTAGACAAATAATAGTTATTTTAAAGATCTATAAAAAATTTAAAGGTGAAATGCTAACATACTAGCACAAATAGTCTAAAAAAAATACTTAAGATGGTCATATAACTTTTTAATAAACAAATAAATAATTAAAATTGATTATATAATAATGGGAACTAAACACAATAATTTTAAATTTTAGAGAAACGAAGAACAAAGAAAATATTTTATAAAGACTAAAATTAAAATTTACTTATTTTTAGAGGGACTAAAAATATAATTAAGCCAAAAATATATTAATGACATATTTTAAATATTTTTATTATTGACAAAAAATTATTAAAAAATTATAAGTGTTTGTAAATAATTTGCTTTGGGTTTCGTTGATAATATATTATGAAATGTATTAAAAACTGTATTATTAACCTTCGTCGCCTTGCAAATGAAGTTGTGCAAAACAACGATACCAACATCGTAAGCCTCTAAATTTGGAAAGAGCGTGTAAAGTCATGTTAGCCTTCAAATGCATAAATGACTGTACACACACTTAAGAAATGTCTCGTATGCTTAAACGAAGATTTAACAGAATAATAATGGATAACAATAGGTTAGGCCAAACTTTAATAGCTTTAGGTTTGGTAGACTTTCGTAAACCTTGGTCTGACTTTTATTAAAGGATAAGTTGAGTGTGATTTATTTATCTGTCGTAATTTTTATTTTTTGAGGCTTGTCTAATTTGTAAATATATTTAAAACCTGTATTTTTATAAAAATAAACAAATAGGTTTGTCGATAATAATATCGATAATTTCGTGGGTAACACTTCATTTCCGACGGATTATAGACGAACAATAATTCATCAATAAATTGCTCGTCTAAAACATTTATCGACAGATTATAATATTCGTGGGTAACTTTTCGACGAAATTACTCATAGATAAAATTCATGGATATTGTTGATAATATTTTTAAAAAAATCATTTCGAAATTATATTAAATAACACCTTTATCCCTCATATCCGACCTTTCAGAAGCTCCACTCTACGATACTTCACGCAACTCTTCGTTAGTCAGAATCCTTCATCGATCAGAATCCACCATGGGTAAAAATTTTCCAGAAGGTCATTCATCCCTAAATTACTTCATATTAAGTACGCTTAACTGAGAAGTTCTTAAGGAATAAGCTACAAAATAATAGATGCATCTCATTAGTATAGATAGTACAAATTAATTTCTTTAAGTCATCCTCAACTATATAATCTCATACTTGTACAATTTTTTAATCCTTCTCATTCCAATATATTTCACAAATTACAATATAATATAATACTATAATTTTTATGTAAATTAAAAAATACTAATATTTTAGCCTGTGTATTTCACAAATTATATTTTTATTATATATAATTAAAAATTATAATAAATTATATATAAAAATAAGTATAATAGTTAAATCAATAAATCATATTTAAAATTTGTATAAATATATATTAAATTAAAATTAGTAACTAATCAAAGAATAATTAACTTGTATATATAAAGCATAAATGTCTTTCTTATGCCATATTGTTTTTAGAGACTTTTTTTTAACTAAAAGAATTATATATATATATATATTTTAAAAAATTAATCTAATTTAGTTTTTATTTATCATTATTAGTTATAAATTAATTTTTATTATTTTTAATATAAATTATTAATAAAAAATAATTACCCACAGATTTATCCGTCGGTAATTATCCATAGATAAATCCATCGATAATTACTCACGGATACATCTGTGGGTAATTATCTAATTTAATTTTAATTTATCATAATTACTTATGAATTAATTTTATTATTTTTAAAATAAATAATTAATAAAATATAAATACTCACATATACATTCGTCGGGAATAACATCGATAATTTCGTGGGTATCATTGATAAGATTTTTAAAAATTATTTTAAAATTGTATTAAATAACAATCTTGTGAATTTTATTAAAAATAATATAGTTCAAAATTGGTAAAATTATTATAAATGTTAAGAAATTATCTTTTAATTTTAGACTATCATGCATCAATATCATTTCACTAATTACATATTTCTCAATTTAAATAAAATTAACTATATAATATTAAAATATACTATCATTTAATTATAAATTATATATATATATATATATAATAGTTGGTATGGTAAATTAATTAGCATGGGAAAATTAGTTAAGTATTTAAGAATTTAATTTGTTAATTTTTTATCATTAAATTTTTTAAAGTTACTGAAAAAAATTTGTAGGTAACATCCATCTGAAATTTTAAACAACAAAAATAGAGAAAAATATATATAAGCATGATTATTAATATTATATAATAAGAAAAAAAAATTTGATAAGATATTATATAGAAAGAGAGAGAGATAAAATATGTGATATGATTTGATAGTAAAAGAGAGATCGAAATAATTTACATGTATTGATACATGGGGGTGTTTGTAAATAAATGATTAAGTATTATTCTTATCCTATTATGTTATATTGTAATTGTTTTAAACTTTGTTTATTTGTTTTATTTATGAAAGGGTATCGACAATCTCACTTAAACTTTGTCACCGTATTTAAGAAATAAGTAAACACTTATTTTAATTTCAAGACCATGTCGTATTAATTTTTGTCAAATAACTCTTTAAATTTAAATATTTATTATTATTATTATTTTTTAGTCCTTATACTTGTATATTATCACTTTGGTTCCTCTAGTTTAAGAATAAAAGTGTCTTATTTTTTTAAAAAAATTAAACCAGTTACCAACTATGCTGGACCATATCGGTTGAATCGATCGATCTCATGATATTTCCCATTTTGTATACTTTCCGTTCTTTCCTCTCACATTTATATTCATAAAAAATATACTTATTATTTTGTGTCTCCTCAAATTTTCATTCCATTTTTCTACCTCATTATTTGATTGTTATTTTTATTAGAGTTAATTATTTAGTATAAAGTTTTTTATACTATTAAATAATTATATTTTTTAAATTATTTTATTAAATAAGTAATTGATATATTATTATTAAAAAATATAATTTATTGTTAATATATAAAAAATTTATACCGACAAGTGATGAACTCCTTTTACTCCCATTACGTATGTGTTTACGTATGTGTCTGATATGTTTTCTCTTCTTATCTCTCTACCCGTAGGTTGAGTATACAGCCCATAAGAGACGTGAGACATGAAGACAACCCTTTTCCAATATAAAAAGGTTGAGATAGGGATCCAAGCCAAGAAAAGTTTCACTATAGTAGTACTTGTTCTCACTTCTCACTAGACAGTGGGAGTAGTTCTTATGCTTGCTTGCGTATCATGGGAACCCGTTGGAGAAGAGCCTTTTGCACTAGCGACCCTGAACCTGAACCTGAACCTGAACCCACCTCTCCTCTATCCTCCCCAGGCCCCAAGCTCAACCTCTCCCTCTTCACAAACACCTTCAAATTCAGAGTAACCTTCTTTCTCTTTTTTTTCATTGCTTTTTAAATCAAATAGCATACTAATTCTTTTCTTTTTTACAGAGTACCTGCGGAATCTGTTCCAGTAGCGTCAAAACAGGTCAAGGAACCGCTATTTACACTGCAGAGTGCGGTCACGCCTTTCACTTTCCCTGCGTCGTTTCCCATGCACGCCCACGCATCTGTCCCGTCTGCCACGCCGCATGGGATCACCTACCGTTTCACCAAAACCACGCCGTCCTTCACAAACATTCCGATTCCCTCACGTCCTACCACCACCACCACCCTCTCCCTTCTCCTCTCTCATGTTCCACGCAAATCCTTCCCATTCCCGAAGCTGATGAAAACACCGAACAACAACAACAACAACAAAACCACGACGCATCCGAGTTCCCTGGCTTTTTCGTCGATCCAAAGCCTCAATCCTCGTCACGACAAAACCACGGTGCTGAATATTCAAGGACCGTCCGAGTCAAGTTGATGCCCGAGTGCGCGGTCATATCGGTTTCTCAAAGCCACCAAACTCGCGCTCTCGTTTTAAGAGTCAAGGCTCCGCCGTCGCCGTCGCCGTCGCCGCCACAGCCGCGTCGGCCGCCGATGGATCTCGTCGCAGTGCTAGACGTCGGCAACAGCATGAGCGGCGGAGCGAAGCTTCACATGGTGAAGCGCGCGATGCGTTTGGTTGTCTCGTCGCTCGACGCGTCTGCCCCCGCCGATGGATCTCGTCGCAGTGCTAGACGTCGGCAACAGCATGAGCGGCGGAGCGAAGCTTCACATGGTGAAGCGCGCGATGCGTTTGGTTGTCTCGTCGCTCGACGCGTCTGACCGGCTCGCCGTCGTGGCTTCCAAACGGTTGCTACCGCTACGAAGAATGACGACTCAGGGACAACGCTCGGCTCGGCGCGTAGTGGATCGGTTCGCGTGTGACCACGGGAACAGCGTGAGTGAAGAAGCTGTGGAGAAAGCCGCGAAAATTCTCGAAGATCGGAGAGAGAGAAATCCTCTCGCCAGAATCTTGCTTCTATCCGACGGTCACGATAACAACAATCAACGGAGATGCTTAAGCCACGTGTCTTCCGTCCGGTTTACTTGTGTAGAAGTTCCGGTTCATCCGTTTGGGTTCGGGGTTACAAAAACCGGTTCAACACACGAACCGGTTGAGGATAATTTTGTTCAGTTCATAGATAGGACATTGAGTGTGGCGGTGCACGATTTAAGAATTCAGCTTGGCTTTTCCGCGCCGGCTGAAATTCGAGCCGTTTATTCTTGCAGCGGGGGACCCACTGCGCTGAACTCAAGCGCGGCTCGGCTCGGCGATTTATACGCCAGAGAAGAGAAGGAGTTGTTGGTGGAGGTTAGAGTGCCCACGTCAGCATTAGCGACTCACCACGTGATGACAGTGCGGTGTGTCAACAAAGACCCTGCTTCGCAAGAGTTTGTCTACGGCGCGGAACACGCGTTTACCGTGGTGCCGCCAAAGAGTAGTACTAGTGCTTCACTTTGTGGCGGGAGATCCGAGAGGCTGAGGAATGTATTTATCACGAGCCGAGCCGTAGCCGAGTCGCGGAGGCTGGCTAAGCATAGCGAATTCTCGAGCGCTCATCATTTGCTAGCTTCGGCTCGGGCTCTTCTAACGCAGTTTGGCTCGGCTGAGGAGTACGTGCGCGGCTTGGAAGCTGAGCTGGCGGAGCTGCAGTGGCGGAAGCAGCAACCGGGGCGGAGGAGGGAGGGTGAGAGGGTGGTGGATGAGGGCAGTGAGGCGCTGACCCCGACGTCGGCTTGGAGAGCCGCAGAGAAGCTGGCTAAGGTGGCTATGATGAAGAAGTCGTTGAATAAAGTTAGCGACTTGCACGGCTTCGAGAACGCTAGGTTTTAGTATATGCTTCGTTTTTCTATTTAGAGAAACAAAATGTTGATTCTCGAAAATGTATAAAATAAAATTTAAGTGTGGCAGCGTAGTTACTAGCTAGAGAAAGGGAATGGGAATTGGTAATAGAGGTTCGGAATACATAGGAAGATCACTAGAAGAAAGGGTGTGAATTGTTAAGCATGAGTATGTGGATAGTATAGAGCAAGGAAGATAGTAAATGTTTAGAGTTTTTTTTATTGCACGAACCAACTTAAAATTATGTGGCTATATATTATGAGACTTTTATCTTTATTTTTTTTTCGTTTTTAATCACAATAGACTTGATTGTTCAATTTTAAAATCTCATTCGTATATTTTATATTTTCATATTTATTTCGTGTAAATATAGTAGCTACTCGTAGACATAGAGGGGAATACTTATTGGGTTGATTTCGTTGTCTTGTGTTTTTGAATTTAATCAATCTCTTTTGAACGATGCATGCACTGAGAAACTCTCAAACTAGCAGAATCAAATGTTCAATGAAAATCTGATTCTCACAAGTCACGACGTTGAACGCGGAAGCAAACGGATATTTACACACATGTAGGGGATATGAAATTAATGTGAATGACAAAGTTATAAATGCTGCAGCAAAATAACGTTTTCTGTTCTCCTCCATTTCTTTTTGGATAACATTTTTTATGGCCCTACTTACGATGCATAAGTTTATTATATTGTTTATTAATTTATAAGTAAATAGTAACTATTTTTATTTAAAATATTTAAAATTACTAAAAAGTCTTTTTTTAAGAAGTTATTTAGATTTAATCAAATGATCACTACTTGTCATTCTTTTTGACAACAATGCACTTGTTGTAGACCCACTTATCAAAGATGACCATCTTTTTGTCATGGTAGAACTTAGCACAAGCGAGGTGGATTTACGAAAATGGATTAAGACTTTAAAGGTTTGATCCGATTGGGTTTCAATGAGGAAGACATAATTGTGGAGAATGTGTGCAATGGTATCGGAGGTGGAGTGGGAAGGTGGTCTTGCAAAAAAGTATGTGGTGATGAGAGAGTGAGTGGTGTGACGGTAAGAGAATAGATTGAGCTTAAAAACAGAGTCATGATCGATGCGAGCGTGACAAAGAAGGGCAAGAGCAGTGCAAGAAAGGATGAAGGGGAAGGTGAAGTTGTTGGAGGCAAGGTTGAGGGAGTGCAGGCAATGAAGTGGGGAGGGTAATCTTGTGACTACAGCGGGATAGGAGATATTGAGAAGCATATTGGTCTCCTCTTTGAAGGAAATTGATTCTTAAATCTTGCTTTCATGGGTCTTCTCTACTTCTTTGATACTTGTTGGTTTCTTTTTAGGTTTACCTTCAATTTTGATAGTGGTTATTGACTTTTCTATGAGTTCGGATTCACCTTGGATAGTTGGTGGAGGAAAAGAGTTGGTGATGTCGACAACAAGCTACACTTCTTTTGCTAGAGTTGATTTTTGAGATTTCTCAGTCATGGATGGATTGGAAAGGAAATGATTATGAATAAAAAGAAATACAAGCATGGGTGTTGGCAATGATGATGAAGGCATCCATCCAATTGTTGAAGTCAAAGCCAAAGGAGTAAAAGAGGATGATAATAATAATAATAATAACGAAAAAGTGGAAGGAGAAGAATTGAGGTAATCGAGTGAAATTTAAGATTTCTTTTTTGTTTAACAAAATCATCATTTATCACCAAAAAATAAAATTAATATATTAATAAAGTTTTTATTATCAAATAAATTTGAATCATTTAATTTAATTATTTATATATCTAATTTTTTTTCACTAGTAAACTGCAAAAAAAAAAATTTAAATTTATTCCATACATCATATAATATATTGGTGTAGGAGTAGATTTCAACTTTATTATTATTAGTAGTAATACTTTGGAGGAAGAACATTTACGAAGTGGGCTCATAGGGCTAATGATTAAGGATCGGACTAGGAACTATGAAGGTAAGTAAAAAGTTTAAAATGATGTAAAATGATATTCTGGTTGAATAATATGTCAGAGGACAGCACATAAGATAGAGTGGGTTGAAGGAATAATGATGAACAAATGATTACATTGCATAATAATTGGATCGATGCCTTTCCAATCTTTTATTTAAATACCTTATCTATGTCTTACCATTTGCGATTAAAAATATATTGCAATCATTAGACACATTAGATGTCTTTATAAGTACAAGCGTGTGGTCAGCGATAAGAGTTGATCTATGTTTAAATAAGATTAGGAATTTGAATCTTGTCTTATGTATATAGTAGTATTAAATTTTTGGGTCAGCTATCTCATTTTTTAAGGTGCGTCTCCAATGTAACAAGAAAATTAATTACTACTATCAGCGGTAAATACTTCAAGGACAAAAAAAAAAAATACGATGTCTTTACAAGCTATCTATGGTAAAAAGGGAATAGGGTTCTCTTATCTTTGGGAAACAATCCCTCTGCAGTAGTGCGAGTTTATGTGATTCCAAAGGGGTGTATCCAATCAGCAAAATTCGATTTTTGTATTATTTTTCTGTTGTGGCTCCTATAAACAAGGAATATGGTTAAGAAGATGAAATATATTATAATTATTGATTAAAAGGTAAAAATATATAAAGATTAGGTAAATGTTTAATAAAATAAGTTAGTTGCAATTTTAAATCAATGATTATTGATGTATTTTATCCTCTAAAATGGACCTACTTTAGTAGCATGTTTGCTCTTGACATTAAATCAAAATTCAAGACGAATCCGCATCCAATAAAAGTTGTTAAAAGTAGTTTTTTTAGTGTTATGTTGATGTAATTTTTTACATCTTAAGATATGATTTGAAGAAGCAAGGTTGGGAATAAATTTTCTCAAGTAATAAAATCTCACTCTTAAATTTTTTAAACTCACTTTATAATATAAATTTTTTTTAATATTTTTTAATGGCTAGAATATCATCTTATGAAAATATCATTGAAAAGGATTCATTCTCCTAATAGTTATAGTTTCACATTTTTTTTTAACGAGTTTCCAAATATACTATTTATGTATTTTAGATGTTAGCTAGACATAAAGAGAGAGTATTAATTTGATCCACATTACTAAATTGGTTCCAAACATCGACTCAAACAAAATTTCAGTTCTTATTTTGCAACGATGTTAGACATAAAGAGAGAGTATTTTAACTTGTTTTTTCTGGTCAATAAATATAATTATAATTATATACAAAATGCATATCCTTTCTTTAGAGATCAGAGCTTTTTAAGGAACAATTTAAGCATTTTTACCCTATTTTATACCTCACCCAAATTTCTTCAGGAAAACTATTGAAGTTGAACAGTGGCATCTTTAGTGATAATTAATGGTCCATGTCATGTACGTGCAAGTGAGAAAACTCACTCACAAAGATCACATGCATTAGATTGAAAAAACCAAGAATCCAAGAAAAAGAAGCTAAAGGGGGTTCATAAATGCGATGCTTGATGATAACTCATTATAAATATGTCGTGACAATTCAATTCAATTCGTTCTCTTGGAACAGCCTCTGTCAGGTATGTACGTAGCTTTGACAACTATTTAATCCTAAACATGTTCATGGGCACGTTATAATTTGTACGCATTGGCAAAATAAGATACATAGTCTTGGATATATAATAAATATATAGCTAAGATAGATTAGAATTAGGGGATGTTATTCAGAGATGTGGAACCCAACAAGGGTCTCACTTGTCCAATCCATCAATATCTGCCTTCGTCCTCCTACCATGTGTTCTTGTTATATATCATTTTTTTCTTTCTATCATCAAACTCACACTCTGCTAGCTAGCTAGCTGGCCACCCCACTGCAAGTCTCAGTGGTTGCCACTTTATTATGTCAAACAAATACTTTTATGTTAAAATTAAATTATACCAACAAAATTTGGTGCAAGTTAGTAGATAGTTAAGTTTTTTTAAAAATATATCGATACAGCTTGATTTCCTAATTGTATATATAGGAAGGATTTTATTAAGATTTAAGAATGGCAAAATTTACTTTAGTACATCTCTATACACATCTCAAAAATAATTAATTTTCAATTATTAATCTCGGATATCTTTAGTGTAAACCAAAAAATTGTTAAAAATAAATTATCATATTGCTTAGAGTTGTTGGGAGGAGTTTTACATTAAAGACCACTTGACTAATGAGTACTAAATAAATTACACAAGTAAATTTGACATCACATCATAATTTATATTAAGTTGATGAGTCTATCTTACTTATATTATTGAACATGTTCAACTCTATCTGATGTAAAATTTCCATTCACATTTGAGCTTAGTACTGTCCCTCAAGTGTGAATTTCAATCACATGATATGTTTTCCTTCAAGTGAAAGTTCTTTTCTTTCTTTTTTCATCTATGAATATTCAATGATGGTCTTGTATCATGAAAAGTGTTATATTTATTTTAATTTTTTTGTATAAATTTTAGCACTTATCTTAATTTCATTTGACTTGAGATCTTAATTTAATCCAATTTTATCTTAATTTGAAGAAATTTAACTTTAGTTTATAATTTAAGTTTTTAGAAAATTTACAAGTTTTTTTTTTTGTTAATTTGTAGATGAGAAGGAAAAGGGTGAGAAATATTGAAATGAGCAAGTGAAAAGCTTGATGAAGCATCAAGAGAGAATAAGAAATTTGACTAAGTTTTGGTGTTGAGCGTGAAATCTTACGCTTAAGGCCAACCTTCTAGAGGGTGATTCATTTGCCATGTTAAGCATAGAAATTCTATGCTTAACACCAAAATGCTAACCTATCATTAATGAGAAAAGAAAAAAGTATTTATGATCTAAAATTAAGGAGATTCAAAGATATCATTTAGAAACATTTCTTGGAGTGTGTGTGGCAGTTGGAAGAGCTCTCATGGCTGTAAGATTAAGTTTCTACCTTTCTTCATTTTTTTGTGCTCCATGTCTATGTGTAACTAAGTTCACTCTTGTTGGGATTATACTTAATCTCATGTTTCATAGTTATTATCCAATATTATTGTTCTCTTCTTTGCTTAATGCATGTTATGGTTTGATCATCCTTAACTTGATTTTGTGGGTTTAAAGTGATTGGAAAATATTTGTGAACCTTTTTAAAATAAAGTACATCAGCTAATGGTGCTTACCTCTAGGAATAGAGTAAATGCTATTAGTCATTCATAAACTCTTCTTCTTAAAAAATTAGGTTCTTGGTTAAGTTATGCTAGGAATTGATAACTTAGTCAAAAAACTTAGACTTCATTTTATAAGAAATCAAGGTTTGAGTATATTTGTGACTTGAATAATATTTTTTGAACTTATAACTGGATTAAAGTTTGTTTGTAAACATGAGAAGATGGTTTGGTGAAGTTAAATCCCAAAATATTTTATTATATATTATATTTAAATCAGTT